CGGCCCTGGTGTCTTCATTCATAGTCTCTCTCATGCCTTTAATCCTGAGATTCCATCGTCTTTTATAGCGGTCGTGTTCTCTGCATTTTTCTTGCAGGTCAACATTTTCGGCACGCATACGCCCTAACTCTTCTTCCACGCCAGAGACACGAACTTTACAGTCTTTAATCTCAGATGCATTGAATTCCACCGCTTTTGAGAGGCTAGCTAGCATTGCACCGTTCTGGGTTAGCTTACCGTCGATCTCCTCCATTTTTCTTTCCTGTTTCTCAAACTTAATAGTTAGCATATTGATGGCAGCAAGAATGGCATTACTGGACCCATCTTCTTCAGCCGTTTTCGGATGTTTGCGAACATGTGCTCCTTTCGAGGGAGTAGCGGGCAGCGAGTCAGAAGTATCCAAATCTCTTTTTTCACCACCACGTTCTTCAACCATTTCTGATTCTGCCGACAGATAATCATGTCCGCTTTGCTCCAGAGAAACAGTGGTATGATTTGTTTGTTTGGACATTTTTCTTGCGATGTGTTGACGTACACTTACTAAGGAAAATCCTGGTTGAATTCTAGTGGGAATAGACATCAAAAAGTTAACTTTGGAGGGAGTTCACCAGAGCCCACGTGAGAGTGATCCGCTCACGTCGCCATCTTGCCTCGAATCCTCCCCCCAAATCGTCTTATCTCTTGCATTGAAGAGGAGCTACTGCGCATGTACAACTTTTAACGAGAGTCCATAGACGGCTCAGGGCGCAATCTTTTGCGCCCTGAGGCGGAAATACGTCCTCAGTCCGACACAGACAACGCTGATGAGCTTAATCAATCCAACTCAGCATAAACTATAAAGTATTTCTTCCACATCTGAAATAAAACACACATACATTTCGAAATATTTTAATGTTATTTTTATTTTTTAACGTTTTATTCAAGGTAACATGGCAAGTTGTGAGTGGTGGGGCGGCGCCCTAGCGCCCTCTATTGGCCGGCCGCCACTGGTTCAGAGCCTATAAAGGCTTTATTCTGAGGCTCCGTGAAAACTGAGCATGCGCAGCTACGAGCATCAGCGCCGATGATTGACAGCCCTTGGCATCACTTGATTGGTTAAAGTGGACGGCATCGTGGATTCTGAACTATAGCTAAGAGCAGGGAAGGCGGGACTTACCCGTAATATTAGAATTAATAAAATAATATATTTAACATATCAACATTTAAGGCCAGGAGGTCAATTTAATCAATTTGATAAAATTCTTAAAATTTGTAATTCATTTAGAGTTCCAGATTATCACTTTAATAGTTTAATTTGGTTTGAATTATCACTAATTACATTCAGTGTTCGATGTGTATGGTAAAATTAATGGAACGGTTTGTTTTCTTGATATAATTATCTTTAAAACAATGGATAACATGCCGTATGAGCCCAGACTCTCATCGGGGGCCGCGTTGACGTTAAAGTTTAATGTCCACTAGAGGGCAACAAAATACAAATGGTCCACGGTTCAGGATTTGAGTCCACTGGTCTACGGTCTACAGGATTTGCAGACAACTAACTATTGCAACAATTGTAAAGCGCTTTGTGACTGTGGTCTGAGAAAGACGATATATAACGATATATACGATATATACGACGATATGTGGCAAACTTTAAGAGACTTTTTATGGATATCTTTGAGAAATGACTTTCTTCTTGCCACTCTTCCATAAAGGCCAGATTTGTGCAGTGCACGACTGATTGTTGTCCTATGGACAGACTCTCCCACCTCAGCTGTAGTTATCTGCAGTTCATCCAGAGTGATCATGGGCCTCTTGGCTGCATCTCTGATCAGTCTTCTCCTTGTTTGAGATGAAAGTTTGGAGGGACGGCCGGGTCTTGGTAGATTTGCAGTGGTCTGATACTCCTTCCATTTCAATATAATTGCTTGCACAGTGCTCCTTGAGATGTTTAAAGCTTGGGAAATCTTTTTGTATCCAAATCCGGCTTTAAACTTCTCCACAACAGTATCTCGGACCTGCCTGGTGTGTTCCTTTGTCTTCATGGTTCTCTCTGTGCTTTAAACAGAACCCTGAGACTATCAAAGAGCAGGTGCATTTATACGGAGACTTGATTACACACAGGTGCATTCTACTTATCATCATCAGTCATTTAGGACAACATTGGATCATTCAAAGATCCTCACTGAACTTCTGGACTGAGTTTGCTGCACTGAAAGTAAAGGGGCCGAATAATATTGCACGCCCCACTTTTCAGTTTTTAATTTTTTTTTAAAGTTTAAATTATCCAATAAATTTTGTTCCACTTCACGATTGTGTCCCACTTGTTGTTGATTCATGACAAAAAATTTTAATTGTATATCTTTATGTTTGAAGCCTGAAATGTGGCAAAATGTTGAAAGGTTCAAGGGGGCCAAATACTTTCGCAAGGCACTGTACATGTATTTTAACGTGTGTGAAGCAATTAATTTTGTTTCCCAAAGGGTCAGACAAAATTACCTTTAATGTTTATAAAGTTTAGGTCTGAAAATGACCATCTCTTGACGAGTCGATGACGTAACCTGCACTCAGGGTGCACTGTCCCAATTCCGCCTTTTTTGCACACTTGTAACCTGCGCACTCCAACCCTGGTGTGCACTTCCAACAAATGCACACTTCGACGAAGTGTGTAGGGTGCAGTGTGGGTATTGGGACTGGGCGTAATTCGAAAGCAGAATAGGGCTGGAAAGCGGAAGTGCGAGATTTTGCGAGATTTCCACCCGTGGATACAAACACACCACACGTGCCAGTTGTATGGTGCGGAGATCGCCGACTTCTTCCTCGTTAATGGACTTTCCTGTGTTATTTTGGACACATTTCGTGTCTGGGACAGAAAAACTGAGTGAACGGTCGGAATTAGCTGTGAACTGGCCATGTGCTGACGTTTCCATATGACGGGGAAATGAGAAAGGCACAGGGCCGTGTTCAAACATACAGTCTATGGTTCAAACTCATTGTATTTGAATCCGCTATCACGCATCAGAAAGAAAATATAGAAACACTATTCCTATGCAAATAAATTGATGTTGTCCCTTACAGCTATCTTTGGTTATAAGCCAATGTATATGAATGATCAGTTTTCTATCTGTTCATCAGCTCCATCTCCACTTCACACTCACTGCAGCTTCACATTGGGCCTTTTTCCTTTTTGCTGTTCAGTAAAAAATAACATGATGTAGTTGGGCTACCTATTCATTTAATACGAATGACTGTCAGTTTTCTGTTATATTTGAACATTTGTTAAATGTTATTTATTACGTGTTAATTAACGTATTAAAAAATGACGTGTTCAAAATCCCTTATAAAGATGACCATGATTCAGAAAGTTAAATTCAAAAAGGTTTATTTCCCTAATACAAAAAGAATCTAAAACAGCTGTTCGGACCAAAAGTAACTATCCCTTATTCTCTATATAAAATATAAAAGTATGACTTTGGTGGGCGCTCCACGCAAATCACACACTGCCCCTGGTCCAGAAAAAACTAACTTAAAAAACATTCAAGCTATTCATTAAAGGTATACAAGAGGATTTTCTACTTCCGGGTGGATCATCAACACTATTGGTCCTCCCAAATGTCAATCATTCTGTTTATACGTCCTTGTCCTATAAGAGCAGAGAGTTTTGTTCAAAAAGTAGAAAGGGCGGTTCTTTCCTAAAATATGGGAAAATCCTCCTTTATACCTTTAAGTAATGTGCAAGAAGAAGGGGGCGTGTCGTATCAGTCAGCTCTCGGTCCCGTGATCCGCCTTCCTCCATCTCGTCTCCTCGTCTCCAGTGCGCACCTAAACAGAATCATTTACACACTCCCCCTCCCCAACCTATAGATTTATTAGTTCCTTTGAGATAAGGCAGAAGGCTCAAGGCTTCTCCTCCAGATTCTGGGCTCCATCTCCTTCTTTCACAACTTGAAAGGATTAGCAGAATCCCCCCAGATTAACTATCATTAACTCACCCATGCACTTTGGACAAAATGGGACAAGGGGAGTAGGGCAATACAAGGTCTTTCTTTTTGCTTGGAAACAGACAGAGTTCAATTTCAGGTCAATCTAATTCACATCGCCTTTTAGTCTATATTTAATACAACATAATATGTTCCTCCTTTATCTCTCAAATAAACAAATATTTGAGAGACAATAATTATCATGTGTGACATCAATAAAGTTTCTTATCTTATCTTAAAATACAAGCCACAGTAAAAGGCTTGGCCGTGCACTATTACACTATTACAGTTAACTGTCTCTAAAATCAGACAAAATATTTTATCAGAACTGCATAGCTTTTCCCACGGCTTCAGTTGGTCTTTGGGAAACCTAAAAAATGAGCACGTGTCGCGTAAACTGTGATGATTACAGCCGAAAACAAAGCACAGCATTATGCACCATTCACTTAAACCGCCTCCTCGAACAGCTGACGGTTTGTTTGTATCCGAGCAATGAACCGGAAGTGCTTCTGGGACGAGACTTTCCAGCCCTATAGTTTCTTCCGCTTCCGTCCCTTCTCAGATGTACCACGAGACATTCAAATTAACAAAACGTCCTTCCTTTTCTTTCTGTGCGCATTAAAATCTCATTTCTTCGACACATATCTTGGTGAATTCCAATGTATAATCTTTACGTTGGTTCTGCCACATAGGTTTCTTGTAATGTTACCACAGTTATTGTAAAACGGAAAGCAAAACAAGGAAGGAGAGTACGGAAAAAGATTTTGGACGCAGCCACGTATTTTCCCCAAAGCAGTCCTGCGTCTTTGAGTCAACACATCAAGGCAACACCCTTAGCCTATTAATTGTGCATGAATGTAATCCTAAAATAAACCCTAATTGTGACTTGACCCTAGCAATTATTTATTGGCTAAAATAACCGTTCGCTAGCATAGCCACGGTTATTAAGTCCGTGCCTTGAGGCAAGTGTGCGGGGAAAAGAACCGCGGCAGAGACATTTGCGGACAGATTAAGCACTCGGTCAGTCAATGAGCAAACATGACCAAGTTGGATTTATTAAACGTGTTTTTAAACGACAGACTCACAGCCGCGGCACAGGACATCTTCCGCGCTATAAAGGAGACCGTGCTGGAATATCAGGGCGAGCTGGTCTGCGTCAGAGAGGAGAACGAACGGCTCAGGCAGCTGCTGGATGCGACTGTCCAGAGGCTTCTCCTACGGCCAGGTGAGCCTGCAGACCCGGGGGGCACGGAGGGCTGCAGACCCGGCTGGGCACGGAGGGCTGCCGTCTGTCCCCATGCACAAACTCTGCGGTGATGGGATTAGTAGATAGTAATAATGCATCGATTTTAAATCGCGCTTATTTGGACACACAAACTCTCTTTACTTTTAATTTTTTTCTGTATTTATTTTGTCAGGGATATACAATATTATATATGTATGTATATGTATATATAACATCTGTATATGTGTGAGTATATATAGATATATGTATTGTTTGTGTGTAATTATATATATATATATATATATAATGTGTCGTCCCGTCCACCCCCCGCACGCTCCGCTCCGCTGTCTCTCTCTATCTATCTATCTATCGATATAGATATATCTAGTAGTAAGTAGTAGTAAGTAATCTTTATTTATATACCGCCTTTTCACTGCACATCGGAGTCTCAAAGCGGTTTACAATTGTTATTTTTAGGGCATTTGTCTCTCACTCCACACAGAGATGGGAGCGGGGCCAGTACAGGAGGCGCATGCCAGACCTATTGTACATATTTTTAGTGGTAGGGGAAACCGGAGTACCCGGAGGAAACCTACGCAGACACGGGGAGAACATGCAAACTCCACTCAGAAAGGCCCTGGTCCAACCGGGATTCGAACCCAGGACCTTCTTGCTGAGAGGTGAGAGTGCTATCCACTCAGCCACCGTGCCGCCTCAGTCCTGGGTCTAATATATATATATAGATATTCTATATACATATATTAGACCCAGGACTGAGGCAGCTCCTAGGCTTGAGTGAAACCTTCTCAGAGCGCTTTGTAAAAATGTTAAAAAATATCACCGAAGAATGTGTTATTTACAATGATCCAATGTTGTGCTTTTTCTAGAGTCAAGACCTGGACAGTTTCCTGAAGTGGAAGAGTGTCTGGGACGTGACTGGAGATGTGCAAAGAAACAGGTGCCATACGTCAAAGAGGAGCAACCAGAGGAGGAGCCCCCAGAGGAGGAGCCCCCAGAGGAGGAGCCCCCAGAGGAGGAGCCCCCAGAGGAGGAGCCCCCAGAGGAGGAGCCCCCAAAGGAGGAGCCCCGAGAGAAGGCCATCGCTGCATGTGACTCTCTGTTTGCAGTAGGGCAGATCAAAACAGAGGAGTCCACACACACAAGCAGTCACTGGAGCGCTAACAGCGCTAACAGCGATAACCCGGCCCACCCCTGGCCCCGCCCTCTTGAGCCCGTAAACAGTCTTCACAAGTGGCACAGCTGCGTGGAGTGCGGTAAAAACTTCAAGTGCGTGTGATTGGTCACATTTTGAAATGCATTTCTTGGCCAATTCGTTAAATTCATTAACTTTTTCTTTTAACTTATTCAACAATTAACTTCTCTGCTCTTCTCTGGTGTCACGGCACCACGGTGTCACGGCACCAGGGTGTCACGGCACCAGGGTGTCACGGCACCAGGGTGTCACGGCACCAGGGTGTCACAGCACCACTCTAGGTGGTAACGGTCAATTGAACTCTTGAAGATCTCCATTATTCCTCTCATTGAAGAGTTCAAAGGGCTGTGAACCAGAGGCAGAGCACACATCACGCTGAGTCTGAACATCTGACAGAAATGCAATCAATATATAGTTTATTCACCAATAACGCTAAAGGCCGTCTGTGCACTGGACTGTGATTCTAAAAGATAAGATACATCTGTACAACAGATGTATCTACATACATCTGCACGTCACATTTGGCATGAATAGGATTCACTCAGATGTAAAAGACAGAGGTGACTCTATAGTGTCTACAGCAGAGGTGACTCTATAGTGTCTACAGCAGAGGTGACTCTATAGTGTCTACAGCAGAGGTGACTCTATAGTGTCTGCAGCAGAGGTGACTCTATAGTGTCTACAGCAGAGGTGACTCTATAGTGTCTGCAGCAGAGGTGACTCTATAGTGTCTACAGCAGAGGTGACTCTATAGTGTCTACAGCAGAGCTGACTCTATAGTGTCTACAGCAGAGCTGACTCTATAGTGTCTACAGCAGAGGTGACTCTATAGTGTCTACAGCAGAGGTGACTCTATAGTGTCTACAGCAGAGGTGACTCTATAGTGTCTACAGCAGAGGTGACTCTATAGTGTCTACAGCAGAGGTGACTCTATAGTGTCTACAGCAGAGGTGACTCTATAGTGTCTACAGCAGAGGTGACTCTATAGTGTCTACAGCAGAGGTGACTCTATAGTGTCTGCAGCAGAGGTGACTCTATAGTGTCTACAGCAGAGGTGACTCTATAGTGTCTGCAGCAGAGGTGACTCTATAGTGTCTGCAGCAGAGGTGACTCTATAGTGTCTACAGCAGAGGTGACTCTATAGTGTCTGCAGCAGAGGTGACTCTATAGTGTCTACAGCAGAGGTGACTCTATAGTGTCTGCAGCAGAGGTGACTATAGTGTCTACAGTAGAGCTGACTGATTGATGTAATACTATTATGTATATAAAAATATAATGTACATTTATATAAATGTATATTATATTATCCTCTGTTTTAGTGAATTGAGAAACGGACCTTGTTCTGTGGTTGCAGCTTCGCATGTCAGCTGGAGGTGCACATGCGCTGGCACACCAAGGAGAAGCCGTACGCATGCGCCGTCTGCAGGAAGAGCTTCACCACCGCCAGCATGCTCAATAGACACCACCGCATCCACACAGGAGAGAAACCCTTCCACTGCCACGTGTGCGGCAAGAGCTTCAACCAGTCAGCCCACCTAAACACACACTTCAGGCTGCACCTGCGAGAGCGCCACAGAGAGCGCCACAGAGAGGACCACAGAGAGAACCACAGAGGGGACCACAGAGGGGACCACAGAGAGGACCACAGAAAGAACAACAGAGAGGACCACAGAGAGGACCACCGAGGGAGAGGAGGCCTCAGCGCTGCCCTCTGCAAATGACATCGATGTCAACCATTCGTCACCAAAAAAATATGGCACTTGACCAGGAATTTCATGTTTAAACTTTAAATAAGGTCTGTTTGCCAGATATGATGTGAACATGTAGCTGCAATGGACATTTTAGCAGAAATTGTCAGAACTATTACATTTAAGATACTATTTATATCAGTTTTGTATGAATCTGTTTATTTTGTAACTCATCAGATCGACTGTTTTGTGAGAGGTGATTCCCAATGTTAGCTTTTGTTCAGTTATAGACTTCTCCACTAATACTAACGCTGATTAAAAGTTAAACATCTAGTTCATCTAGAATGCAAGAAACATAAAGATTTGATATAAGTCTGAAATAGTATTGATGACTTACTTACTGCTCAGGTTGGAAATAAAACCTGCAGCCACCTGCCCTTCGAGGCAGGTTCGTTACTAAAACAATGTGTCATCATTTGTTCTTATTATTGAAAACACTAGTAACTGCTGTGTTTACAATCGGCTACCGTTACATTCAGTTTGGGTTTGAAAGCTTTAGATGAATGTGATATTGCTCTGGAGTCTGTGTAATAAAATGTTCTTTTAAGATTCTACTCCATATTTGTTGTTGCCCAAGAACTATTAAGTTAAATGCTATTTCAACTCCGCTGTATGTGAAAATAATGCATCAGTTTCATACAGTACATCTCACTGCGAACAGGATATGATCAACTACTGCAGCCACTGCCCTGGGGCAGACTGACCGAGGTGAGGCAGCCATGTATACAAACACAAACGCACATACACCCTGATATCCTTCGTTTGATCAGAACTGGACCGAACTCACGTTTGTGATACATACTAAATTGTGCACTAGTGCAAACATTACAATAATAACGTGTGTATGGTGTCATGTCAGTCCCTTTGTATACATATAATATAATTTTATATATATAAAATTACATTATATATATATATATAAATATATATATATATATATATATATATATATATATATATATATATATATATATATATATATATATATATATATATATATATATATATATATATATATATATATATATATATATATATATATATATAATGTGTGTAACTGTAACATAATAATTATATATGAAGTCAGCTGACCACTCGCCACTGGCGCGTGCGCGCGTTTTAGAAGAAGATGGAGCAGCATCACGGCAGCGCAGAGGTGTGCTCTGAGCAGAAGGATCCAGAGATTGTGTGGCGGCAGCAGCAGCGGCAGCAGCAGGTGAGAGACACCAACACATCTGCAGCTGTGTCCAGAGGGGGCTCAGTCCCCCGGGCTGGGTCCTCCGGACTGGGTCCTTTCCCGCAGTGAAGAGTGGCCAAAGCGCACACGGAGCTGGGCCTAGCCCGGGCCAGGACGTGCACGGAGCTGGGCCTAGCCCGGGCCGGGACGTGCACGGGGCTGGGCCTGTACGTCAGCATCCGCCGCTGGTCCAAGGACAGAAGCACCTTGTTCTCAGCAGCAGCTAAACATCTTCCATAACATTCACAATAACAGTTTCATTACAGCAGACTTCACTTGTTCTTTTGTTGGAAGTACTCTGGTATTAAAACTTAGTTTCTGTTTTAGATACGTGTGTATAAGACAGTATGTATAAGACAGTATGGATGAGACAGTATGTATAAGACAGTATGGATGAGACAGTATGGATAAGATAGTATGGATAAGACAGTATGGATGACAGTATGGATAAGACAGTATGGATGAGACAGTATGTATAAGACAGTATGGATAAGACAGTATGTATAAGACAGTATGTATAAGACAGTATGGATAAGACAGTATGGATAAGACAGTATGGATGAGACAGTATGTATAAGACAGTATGTATAAGACAGTATGGATGAGACAGTATGGATAAGACAGTATGGATAAGACAGTATGTATAGGACAGTATGGATAAGACAGTATGTATAAGACAGTATGGATGAGACAGTATGTATAAGACAGTATGTATAAGACAGTATGGATGAGACAGTATGGATAAGACAGTATGTATAAGACAGTATGTATAAGACAGTATGTATAAGACAGTATGGATAAGACAGTATGGATGAGACAGTATGTATAAGACAGTATGGATGAGACAGTATGTATAAGACAGTATGTATGACAGTATGTATAAGACAGTATGGATGAGACAGTATGTATAAGACAGTATGTATAAGACAGTATGTATAAGACAGTATGGATGAGACAGTATGTATAAGACAGTATGTATAAGACAGTATGTATAAGACAGTATGGATGAGACAGTATGGATAAGATAGTATGGATAAGACAGTATGGATGACAGTATGGATAAGACAGTATGGATGAGACAGTATGTATAAGACAGTATGGATAAGACAGTATGTATAAGACAGTATGTATAAGACAGTATGGATAAGACAGTATGGATAAGACAGTATGGATGAGACAGTATGTATAAGACAGTATGTATAAGACAGTATGGATGAGACAGTATGGATAAGACAGTATGGATAAGACAGTATGTATAGGACAGTATGGATAAGACAGTATGTATAAGACAGTATGGATGAGACAGTATGTATAAGACAGTATGTATAAGACAGTATGGATGAGACAGTATGGATAAGACAGTATGTATAAGACAGTATGTATAAGACAGTATGTATAAGACAGTATGGATAAGACAGTATGGATGAGACAGTATGTATAAGACAGTATGGATGAGACAGTATGTATAAGACAGTATGTATGACAGTATGTATAAGACAGTATGGATGAGACAGTATGTATAAGACAGTATGTATGACAGTATGTATAAGACAGTATGGATGAGACAGTATGTATAAGACAGTATGTATAAGACAGTATGGATGAGACAGTATGTATAAGACAGTATGTATAAGACAGTATGGATGAGACAGTATGCATAAGACAGTATGTACAAGACAGTATGGATGAGACAGTATGTATAAGACAGTATGTATAAGACAGTATGGATGAGACAGTATGTATAAGACAGTATGTATAAGACAGTATGGATGAGACAGTATGTATAAGACAGTATGTATAAGACAGTATGTATAAGACAGTATGTATAAGACAGTATGTATAAGACAGTATGGATAAGACAGTATGGATAAGACAGTATGGATAAGACAGTATGGATGAGACAGTATGGATAAGACAGTATGGATAAGACAGTATGGATAAGACAGTATGGATAAGACAGTATGGATAAGACAGTATGGATAAGACGGTATGTATAAGACAGTATGGATAAGACAGTATGGATAAGACAGTATGGATAAGACAGTATGGATAAGACAGTATGGATAAGTCAGTATGGATGAGACAGTGTGGATAATAGCCAATAGGTAAAATAACAATGCAAAGATGCTTTGCCCGAGTTCTGCTTTAAGTTGTAGTTTGTGATTTTGACCAAGAGATGGTGCCACATTATCAACAACACGGGTTCTGGGAAGGTGCTGAGGATGACGAAGGTGCTGAGGAAGAGGAAGGGTATGAGGAAGATAAAGTTGATGAGGATGAGGAAGGTGCTGATGATGAGGAAGAGGAAGGTTATGAGGAAGAGGAAGGTCAGACAGATGACGTGACGTGTCTTTGATGTGGGGTCTGCCAAATTTTTTAATGAATATTTTACGTCTGCAGCAAAGGACATGATTCAGCGTTTGTGACGGAAACAGATTCTGTAACATTTGTTTGTTTAAAGATGAATAAGTATTGATACTAACCCTAACCCATATAGTATTGATACTAACCCTAACCCATAGAGTATTGATACTGACCCTAACCCATATAGTATTGATACTGACCCTAACCCATAGAGTATTGATACTAACCCTAACCCATAGAGTATTGATACTAACCCTAACCCATAGAGTATTGATACTAACCCTAACCCATATAGTATTGATCCATCGATGGACTGATACTATATGGGTCAGAGTCAGTATCAATACATTTGTACAGTGTTGTATCTTGATTTGACTTCATTTAATTTTATTGATATAGAATATTACATATTACGAAAGTATAATATTTAGCCGCAATAGCAGCAGCAGCAACAGTAGCAGTAGCAGCAGCAGCAGTAGCAGTAGCAGCAGCAGCAGTAGCAGCAGCAGCAGCAGTAGCAGCAGCAGCAGTAGCAGCAGCAGCAGCAGCAGCAGCAGCAGTAGCAGCAGTAGCAGCAGCAGCAGCAAGCAGCAGCAGAAGCAGCAGCAGCAGCAGTCGCAGCAGTAGCAGCAGCAGCAGTCGCAGCAGTAGCAGCAGCAGTAGCAGTAGCAGTAGCAGTAGCAGTAGCAGTAGCAGCAGCAGTAGCAGCAGTAGCAGTAGCAGTAGCAGTAGCAGCAGATGGACTTCTGCTGTTTAGCTGTGACCCTGGAGCTGTTCTAAGGTCGTGTTGCAGCCTTAGGCCTGAAGCCTTTTTGTATCAACAAGAAATGGGTTATGGACGACAACAGCAGTGACCGAGGCATCGAGGGGGGGAGGAGGAGAGTGGAGGGGGGAGGAGGGGGGGAGGAGGAGGAGGAGGAGAGGGGGGGGGGGGGGGGGGGGAGGAGGAGGAGGAGGAGAGTGGGGGGGGGAGGAGAGTGGAGGGGGGAGGAGGGGGGGAGGAGGAGAGTGGGGGGAGGAGGAGGAGGAGAGTGGGGGAGGGAGGAGGAGGAGAGGGAAGGGGGAGGGAGGAGAGGGGAGGGGGTAGGGAGGAGAGGGGAGGGGGAGGAGGAGGAGAGTGGGGGAGGGAGGAGGAGGAGAGTGGGGGAGGGAGGAGGAGGAGAGGGGAGGGGGAGGAAACAGGTACATGTCATCTGTTGTACTGATGTTCTTTGATCCTTATTTTTCTCTTTTAAAGAATCGCTCCCAGTTTTTAAAACTTTATTTTATTTTATTGTTGTGACGCCAAAAGTCCAGCTACGTATGTCTAAGATATGTCTAAGATATGTCTAAGATGTGTCTAAGATATGTCTAAGATGTGTCTAAGATATGTCTAAGATGTGTCTAAGATATGTCTAAGATGTGTCTAAGATATGTCTAAGATATGTCTAAGATATGTCTAAGATGTGTCTAAGATATGTCTAAGATGTGTCTAAGATATGTCTAAGATGTGTCTAAGATATGTCTAAGATGTGTCTAAGATATGTCTAAGATGAATCTAAGATGTGTCTAAGATATGTCTAAGATGTGTCTAAGATATGTCTAAGATATGTCTAAGATGTGTCTAAGATATGTCTAAGATGTGTCTAAGATGTGTCTAAGATATGTCTAAGATGTGTCTAAGATGTGTCTAAGATATGTCTAAGATATGTCTAAGATGTGTCTAAGATATGTCTAAGATGTGTCTAAGATATGTCTAAGATGTGTCTAAGATGTGTCTAAGATATGTCTAAGATATGTCTAAGATATGTCTAAGATGTGCCTAAGATGTGTCTAAGATGTGTCTAAGATATGTCTAAGATGTGTCTAAGATATGTCTAAGATGTGTCTAAGATATGTCTAAGATGTGTCTAAGATGTGTCTAAGATGTGTCTAAGATGTGTCTAAGATATGTCTAAGATGTGTCTAAGATATGTCTAAGATGTGTCTAAGATGTGTCTAAGATGTGTCTAAGATATGTCTAAGATGTGTCTAAGATGTGTCTAAGATGTGTCTAAGATATGTCTAAGATATGTCTAAGATGTGTCTAAGATATGTCTAAGATGTGTCTAAGATGTGTCTAAGATATGTCTAAGATGTGTCTAAGATGTGTCTAAGATATGTCTAAGATATGTCTAAGATGTGTCTAAGATATGTCTAAGATGTGTCTAAGATATGTCTAAGATATGTCTAAGATATGTCTAAGATGTGCCTAAGATGTGTCTAAGATGTGTCTAAGATATGTCTAAGATGTGTCTAAGATATGTCTAAGATATGTCTAAGATATGTCTAAGATGTGTCTAAGATGTGTCTAAGATATGTCTAAGATGTGTCTAAGATGTGTCTAAGATGTGTCTAAGATGTGTCTAAGATGTGTCTAAGATATGTCTAAGATATGTCTAAGATATGTCTAAGATGTGTCTAAGATATGTCTAAGATGTGTCTAAGATGTGTCTAAGATGTGTCTAAGATATGTCTAAGATGTGTCTAAGATATGTCTAAGATATGTCTAAGATGTGTCTAAGATATGTCTAAGATGTGTCTAAGATGTGTCTAAGATGTGTCTAAGATATATCTAAGATGTGTCTAAGATATGTCTAAGATGTGTCTAAGATGTGTCTAAGATGTGTCTAAGATATGTCTAAGATGTGTCTAAGATGTGTCTAAAATGTGTCTGAGTCTAAATGATCATGTGACCTTTATCTGACACATTAATGTAAAAGTCAAAGCATTGTTTCTGCTTCGAAAACTCTAACGACGCTCGTGACATTTAAAACATTTATTACAGACCACAGCCGCACAGACCACAGCCGGACAGACCACAGCCGTACAGACCACAGCCGTACAGACAACAGCCGTACAGACAACAGCTGTACAGACCACAGCCGCACAGACCACAGCCGTACAGACAACAGCCGTACAGACCACAGCCGTACAGACAACAGCCGTACAGACCACAGCAGCACAGACCACAGCTGTACAGACCACAGCCGCACAGACCACAGCCGTACAGACAACAGCCGTACAGACCACAGCCGTACAGACAACAGCCGTACAGACCACAGCCGTACAGACCACAGCCGTACAGACCACAGCTGTACAGACCACAGCCGTACAAACCACAGCCGTACAAACCACAGCCGTACAGACCACAGCCGTACAGACCACAGCCGTACAGACCACAGCCGTACAGACCACAGCCGCACAGACCACAGCCGCACAGACCACAGCTGTACAGACCACAGCCGTACAAACCACAGCCGTACAGACCACAGCCGGACAGACCACAGCCGTACAGACCACAGCCGTACAGACCACAGCCGTACAGACCACAGCCGCACAAACCACAGCCGTACAGACCACAGCCGCACAGACAACAGCCGTACAGACCACAGCCGTACAGACCACAGCCGTACAGACAACAGCCGTACAGACCACAGCTGTACAGACCACAGCTGTACAGACCACAGCCGTACAAACCACAGCCGTACAGACCACAGCCGCACAGACCACAGCCGTACAGACCACAGCAGCACAGACCACAGCTGTACAGACCACAGCCGCACAGACCACAGCCGTACAGACAACAGCCGTACAGACCACAGCCGTACAGACAACAGCCGTACAGACCACAGCCGTACAGACCACAGCCGCACAGACCACAGCCGTACAGACCACAGCCGCACAAACCACAGCCGTACAGACCACAGCCGCACAGACAACAGCCGTACAGACCACAGCCGTACAGACCACAGCCGTACAGACAACAGCCGTACAGACCACAGCTGTACAGACCACAGCTGTACAGACCACAGCCGTACAAACCACAGCCGTACAGACCACAGCCGCACAGACCACAGCCGTACAGACCACAGCAGCACAGACCACAGCTGTACAGACCACAGCCGCACAGACCACAGCCGTACAGACAACAGCCGTACAGACCACAGCCGTACAGACAACAGCCGTACAGACCACAGCCGTACAGACCACAGCCGTACAGACCACAGCTGTACAGACCACAGCCGTACAAACCACAGCCGTACAAACCACAGCCGTACAGACCACAGCCGGACAGACCACAGCCGTACAGACCACAGCCGTACAGACCACAGCCGTACAGACCACAGCCGTACAGACCACAGCCGTACAGACCACAGCCGCACAAACCACAGCCGTACAGACCACAGCCGCACAGACAACAGCCGTACAGACCACAGCCGTACAGACCACAGCCGTACAGACAACAGCCGTACAGACCACAGCCGTACAGACCACAGCTGTACAGACCACAGCCGTACAAACCACAGCCGTACAGACCACAGCCGCACAGACCACAGCCGTACAGACCACAGCAGCACAGACCACAGCTGTACAGACCACAGCCGCACAGACCACAGCCGTACAGACAACAGCCGTACAGACCACAGCCGTACAGACAACAGCCGTACAGACCACAGCCGTACAGACCACAGCCGCACAGACCACAGCCGTACAGACCACAGCCGTACAGACCACAGCCGTACAGACCACAGCCGTACAGACCACAGCCGCACAGACCACAGCCGCACAGACCACAGCTGTACAGACCACAGCCGTACAAACCACAGCCGTACAGACCACAGCCGGACAGACCACAGCCGTACAGACCACAGCCGTACAGACCACAGCCGTACAGACCACAGCCGCACAAACCACAGCCGTACAGACCACAGCCGCACAGACAACAGCCGTACAGACCACAGCCGTACAGACCACAGCCGTACAGACAACAGCCGTACAGACCACAGCTGTACAGACCACAGCTGTACAGACCACAGCCGTACAAACCACAGCCGTACAGACCACAGCCGCACAGACCACAGCCGTACAGACCACAGCAGCACAGACCACAGCTGTACAGACCACAGCCGCACAGACCACAGCCGTACAGACAACAGCCGTACAGACCACAGCCGTACAGACAACAGCCGTACAGACCACAGCCGTACAGACCACAGCCGCACAGACCACAGCCGTACAGACCACAGCCGCACAAACCACAGCCGTACAGACCACAGCCGCACAGACAACAGCCGTACAGACCACAGCCGTACAGACCCACAGCCGTACAGACAACAGCCGTACAGACCACAGCTGTACAGACCACAGCTGTACAGACCACAGCCGTACAAACCACAGCCGTACAGACCACAGCCGCACAGACCACAGCCGTACAGACCACAGCAGCACAGACCACAGCTGTACAGACCACAGCCGCACAGACCACAGCCGTACAGACAACAGCCGTACAGACCACAGCCGTACAGACAACAGCCGTACAGACCACAGCCGTACAGACCACAGCCGTACAGACCACAGCTGTACAGACCACAGCCGTACAAACCACAGCCGTACAAACCACAGCCGTACAGACCACAGCCGGACAGACCACAGCCGTACAGACCACAGCCGTACAGACCACAGCCGTACAGACCACAGCCGCACAAACCACAGCTGTACAGACCACAGCCGTACAAACCACAGCCGTACAGACCACAGCTGTACAGACCACAGCCGTACAAACCACAGCCGTACAGACCACAGCTGTACAGACCACAGCCGCACAGACAACAGCCGCACAGACCACAGCCGCACAGACCACAGCCGCACAGACCACAGCCACACAAACAGCTGGAGCCTGATGCACATTTGAAGGTTCTTTTGTGGAACATTAATGTAAACATTATTAGTTTCTTTCTTTCTCCTTTGTTCATCCCACAGTAGGGAAATGTCAGTGTTGCAGTGCACAGACAGGACCGTAGTGAGAGATTATGTCTTGGTATAAAAACATGCGACAAACACATCTTTAGGGTTTCTGTAGTTTATTATAAACATCACTGTATCAAACTGTAGCATGGTCTTCAGAAGATACATTGGAACAAAAAAGTCTTTAAAGACCTTTTTGTCTTCTTCAAAGACGCCATCTTTAAAGAAGACTTTACAGAATATAAAACCCAGAAGTTCCTCTTCTGCCTCTTTATTTTAGCTTGAGTTTCAAACCAAAACATCCAGTGGAAATCACACTTCAAACGAAACCTGCTTCAGTAAAGATCCAAAGTGACTTTTCCAACAGATGTCAGTTGGTCATTACTTAGGTCATGTCAGAATGTGAAAGGAACACACTGGGGGGTTAGTGTATGTGTGTGTGTGTGTATGTGTGTGTGTGTCTCTGTGTGTGTGTGTTTGTCTCTGTGTGTGTGTGTGTGTCTCTGTGTGTGTGTATGTGTGTGTGCGTCTCTGTGTGTGTGTGTTTGTCTCTGTGTGTGTGTGTGTGTGTGTGTCTCTGTGTGTGTGTGTGTGTGTGTGTGTGTGTGCGTGTGTGTCTCTGTGTGTGTGTGTCTCTGTGTGTGTATGTCTGTGTGTGTGTGTGTGTGTATGTGCGTGTGTGTCTCTGTGTGTGTGTATGTGTCTCTGTGTGTGTGTGTGTGTGTGTCTCTGTGTGTGTGAGTGTGTGAGTGTGTGTGTGTGTGTCTCTGTGTGTGTGAGTGTGTGTCTGTGTGTGTGTGTCTCTGTGTGTGTCTGTGTGTGTGTGTCTCTGTGTGTGTGTGGGTGTGTCTCTGTGTGTGTGTGTGTGTCTCTATGGGTGTGTGTGTGTCTCTGTGTGTGTGTGCGTGTGTGTCTCTGTGTGTGAGTGTGTGTCTATGTGTGTGAGTGTGGCTCCACAGATGGCCCGGTCCGTCTTGGCCTCTCCTTGTGTCCTCCTGTTGTTAGCCTGTTGTTATCTTGTCGTTAGCTTGTTGTTAGCATGTCTGTGACTGTGGTTGTGCCGACCAGCTGCTGCTGACCTATTGTTATGGTCCGGTGTGTTTGGCCAGACTGTGGCTCGGGGGCTGATTCAGGGCCGTCAGGCGCTCTGCTGCGGCCCACAGAGGTTCATGTCTGTGGGTTTGAACTTCTTCTTGAACTGCTGAAGAAGATGACATAGTCTGGGATCGCGTCGTTAATTCAGACAGAAGACATGTTTTATTGTCAATGGTAGAGACAGCACAATCCACAGATACAACAGAATGCAAGTGTATTATACAGAGCGGAGGCATGGAGACCTCCAATCAGCAGCTGCCACGGTGTGCTTGTAGCTTGGCCTTCAGATAGACAAAACAAGGGAAAAGTACTGGCTTCTGCACATTGATAGATTGATGAGTTTAACTTTAACAAAAGTTGCTTAAAAGTGTTATGAAATCTCACATTCCCCCCTCTGGTCATACATTCACGTGTGACCATCAGGATCGATAAACAGCAACATAACATCATATCTCAATACTTAAACTCGGTACTTCACTCGGTACTTCAAAAAACTCAGAACTCGGAATACTTTAAAAACTCATAAAACTCATAAAACATGTTCAGATCTTTCATAAAACTTGTCAACAATCTTCAGTAAAATACCAAACTTCATCAGTCGATGGTTCCAGATATTGCTTTGAAAACAGTCTCTCCCACTTCTCCTGTTGATTTCTTCAGGCTGCATTTGTGTTGAGCCATGAATTCTTCTGTGACATCTCTTTCAATTACACGTTTCAGCTTTAGTGTCCAGATTTAGCAAATCAATTCAGTCCAAATTATGTCCAAATTCAGAAATCCAGATTGTTCCAAATTATGTCCATGCAAAAGAGGACGATGGTATTGTCCATGTCTCAGCAGCTCACAGCCTGACTGGAATCAGGGGCTGTGCAGATTGTCCAAGTGTGCTGATCCAGATGCATGGTTTCTCTTGAGGTTTCTCAGTTTTGGCTTGAAAAAAAAAAACACTTTTTGTGTAAAAAAAAAGTAGTCTTCTGTTCTCTAGATGTTACAGACAAGGCCCGCATCCTCCACCACCTGAAGAAGATGACATAGTCTGGGATCGCGTCGTTAATTCAGACAGAAGACATGTTTTATTGTCAATGGTAGAGACAGCACGAGCACAGATACAACAGAATGCAAGTGTATTATACAGAGCAGAGGCATGGAGACCTCCAATCAGCAGCTTCCACGGTGTGCTTGTAGCTTGGCCTTCAGATAGACAAAACATGAAGTGGAAAAGTACAGGCTTCTGCACATTGATAGAATGATGAGTTTAACTTTAACAAAAGTTGCTTAAAAGTGTTATGAAATCTCACACTGTCTCTGATTTGACTCTCATGTGTCTTTCCATGTGTGACGTAACAATGACTATAAAAGCATGTCTTGACTTTTGTTCTGTCTGAAAAAACCCAACTGAAAAACCTGAACCAACTGAACTGAAAAACTGAAACAACTGTTCTGTCTGAATCAACTGCCATTTTTATGAATAAACAACCACACCATGATGCACAGGATCCCTTTTTGTATGAGTCTTATTCTCAACAAGGTAAAAAATATATTGTTTCTGAAGCTGACTCTGCAAATATACGGTTCTTGTTATTTCTTTACCAAATAGCTATTTGAGCAATGTGTGTGAATATTATTTTGTTTATTGATGGTTTATTGATGCCCAATATTGATATTTACATTCAGCGGTAAAACGTCCAGCGATTTACACACTCACAGCGGCTAATGATAAAGCAGTTTTGTGTCTAAACGACTGATATCTTTGTCCGCTGGGTTACACTGAACACAGTTCAACACAAAGGTTTAGGTCGTGTACAAACCCCTTTTGATTGGACAGAGGCACAGGTTGATTGTTTCTGCTTATATATGGCTTCAGATAAAGACTCATATGTGTTTATTAGATAAAGTGGTGAAATGAGAGGAGGCAGAGTGAGTGTGGGGGAGAGAGGGGAGAGAGGAGAGAGGGGAGAGAGAGGAGAGAGAGGAGAAAGGAGAGAGAGAGGAGGGAGGAGAGAGAGGAGAGGGGGAGGGGGTTAGTATTGGGGGGATGCAGGAAGTTAAGCTAAACCCATTGTTGTCAGCTTTAGTGCAGAAGCTGAAGACGTGCAGCTCATTAGCATGACAGAGCGTGTCTCCAGGAGCAGTCTTAAAGTGACCCGGGGGGGGGGGGACACGGACACGAGCTGACCTACTAACTGCCCCTGGCACACTTTACCCCCCAGCCCCAGTGTTGGCTTTCATTTATGAGTCACACACTGTTGCAGTTTGTTTTTGGTTTAAGTGTTGACTTTGAAAAGAGGTGGAGGAGGAGCAGGAGGTGGGGAGGAGGTAGAGGAGGAGGTAGAGGAGGAGGTAGAGGAGGAGGTAGGGAGGAGGAGGAGGTAGGGAGGAGGTAGAGGAGGAGGTAGAGGAGGAGGTAGGGAGGAGGAGGAGGTAGGGAGGAGGTAGAGGAGGAGGTAGAGGAGGAGGTAGAGGAGGAGGAGGTAGGGAGGAGGTAGAGGAGGAGGTAGAGGAGGAGGAGGTAGGGAGGAGGTAGAGGAGGAGGTAGAGGAGGAGGAGGTAGGGAGGAGGTAGGGAGAAGGAGGAGGTAGGGAGGAGGAGGAGGTAGGGAGGAGGTAGAGGAGGAGGTAGGGAGGAGGAGGAGGTAGAGGAGGAGGAGGTGGTTGCGGCTTGAAAGGCTGTTTGGTGTGTGATTTCCAGCTTTTAAGGCTGAGGAAGGCGTGGGCCTGAGCTGCATTTGAATGATGTGGTTGTTTTCTGGAGGTGCTGGAGGAGGTGCTGGAGGAGGTGCTGGAGGTGCTCAGCCTTTATCCTGTCTTTATACAGATCAGCGATAAGGTTCAAAACCTTTAGACGTCAGAATGACACATTCTTTGCTTTGTTATAAAAGGATTAATACAGAGACGAACTGCGTCGCTAGTATCTGTCCTCTTGGTAGCAAGTGTATTTATATGTACTGTACATATATGAATATAAATATATATATATAATAAATATAATATGTGTATATATAATATTTATATTAGTGCTGTCCAAAATATCGCGTTATTAACGCGTTAACGCAAATCAATATTAACGGCGTCATTTTTTTTATCGCCATTAATTTTTTTTATAATTATTAAAAAAAAAAAAAAAAAAATTTTTTTTGTTTTTTTTTTTTTTTACTTTTTATTGCAGACAAACACATATACAGAAAAAAAATAGACACAAAGAAAAGGACTAGTTAAGATACATTGTAGACAGAGATTACAAACAATATGTAGTTGGAGATACAGGGGGCCAAAGAAGAAACCCAGAAGGGCACATAGGAGGGGGGGGGGGGGGGGGGGGGGACATGAAGTGGGAGATGGGGGGGAGGGGTTAATAAAAAAGGCAATACAAGCAAACAGTATACAGTTATAGATATACCGAAAGTAAACAGAGAAACACTATAGAGTATTTACATGAACAAATTTACAAAAAAATTGTTTATCATCATCATAATGACACCATGATGTTTCTATACAGTCTATGGTCTATACCCACACATACACACACACACACACACCCACACCCATAAACACACACACTCCACACACACACACACACACATTGAAGGGGCTTTTTGTTACCAATTATTTATTTTGTCATCCATTTATTGATGATTTTGCATCAAATGTTAGTGTGTAATATAACACTACACATTGTTTTCAATAAAAAAAAGAAATTGCACACAGCACGCAAATGGGTGACTAATTTGCGATTAATCGCGAGTTAACTATGAAATTCATGCGATTAATCGCGATTAAATATTTTAATTGTTGGACAGCACTAATTTATATATATATTACATATATATTATATATATATATATATATATATATATTTATATGTATATATATATATGATGCATGTGTGGGTTAATAGGGCATGAGCTCATAAACCCATCTGACATTTAACTTCATTTGTTCAGACGCCACTCGTTTATAATTCTCTGTCAATTAGACATGAGCTCTCGTGCCTCCAGAGGAGGGGGGTGTCTGCTGAATAATACATGAGGGGGCGGAACTACACACAGAGGGGCAGAGCTACACACAAAGGGGCGGAGTCAGCGGAGGGGGCGACAGATGGAGGAACTGCTGTGCCTTCAGTGAGAGCGGGAGTGGAGCAGAGAAAGCAGCGTCTGGAGAGAAAGGCTTTTTCTCTGAACATGGACTGAAGCCTGGAGCCTGGACCCTGGACCCTGGAGCCTGGAGCCTGGACCCTGGACCCAGGAGCCTGGACTCGCTCATGTGGACTGTGTCTGAAATAAATGTGGATCTGAGCACATCTCTGTCACTTTGTGCCATGGAAAGTGGAGGCGATGATTGGCTGCTGATCTGGAGAGAAGAAAGGCTGCGCTGAGGGTAGGACTGTGCTTTTTTTTATATAATACCTTTAATCTAAATTCATTTATGTTCTGGATGGAACACATCACAGGAGGTTGCTGGTTCTATTCTCACAAGATTGCGCTACGTGTGAACAATGAACTCGTGGGTTTGTTTACATCAGGCTTTAGGTTAAATGTGGAGCATGTGTAGAAGCCAGTCCCCAAATTATGTTTTATATATATATATATATAGATATTAATATAGATCTATATATATATATATATATACAGTATATATTATATATACATTGTGGTCAGAATTCTGTCTGATTTTCTGATTACATTTGTATTCATTACCATCGATAATAGTAATAGTACAATTCCTCGTTGATAACTGTCTCATTTTCGCTGGAACAAAGTGTGTATTATGTGATGATGATGATGGTCTCAGCTCTGATGAAGAGCTCTCCTTTCTCTTCATAATAAACCAGTTCCACACAATCAAACAATTCCAACCTTTGGTTGAAAAGAACAGGAGTTAGTGTCGTCAGACTTCAGAGAAAACCAACTCTTTATGATCAGAAAAATCAACATAAATTATAGAAAAGTGTTGAGGCTCTGGACCCCAGTCTGGAGCCCGGTCTGGAGCCCGGTCTGGAGCCCGGTCTGGACCCCAGTCTGGAGCCCGGTCTGGACCCCGGTCTGGACCCCGGTCTGGACCAATTCTACATATCTGGAAACAATACTGTTTACTGGAAACTAAAAAAACTAAATTAAAATAGAGAAAAACACAAGTTTTTCCATCACTTATTTATTGATTTCATTAAATTTCTGTTACTCTACAGCAGCCATTCCCAAACTCAGTAACACCGAGGCCCCCTTAAAAATCTGACGGGTCTGCGTGGCCCCCCAAAATAATAACCAAGAAGACAACATTAAGAATAGGCCTTTCTGGTTATTTTATTTTGGGGAAATAGCCTCTGCTACAAACATTGTAATACAAAAATGATTACAGTGGATTATTCAAGTCAAATAATGAACACAAATATTTTAATATTACAAACAAAACATTATAAATTTAACATTAAATAATTATATTATCATTTTTATTTTTTTTATGACCTCCCGCGGCCCCCCTGCAGTACCCTCGCGGCCCACCAGGGGGCCGCGGACCCCACTTTGGGAGACACTGCTCTACAGTATTACTCTACAGTGTTACTCTACAGTGTTACTCTACAGTGTTACGCTACAGTGTTACTTTACAGTGTTACTCTACAGTGTTACTCTACAGTGTTACGCTACAGTGTTACTCTACAGTGCTCTGTTACTCTACAGTGTTACTCTGCAGTGTTACTCTACAGTGTTACTCTACAGTGCTCTGTTACTCTACAGTGTTACTCTACAGTGCTCTGTTACTCTGCAGTGTTACTCTACAGTGCTCTGTTACTCTACAGTGTTACTCTACAGTGCTCTGTTACTCTGCAGTGTTACTCTACAGTGCTCTGTTACTCTACAGTGTTACTCTACAGTGCTCTGTTTCTCTACAGTGCTCTGTTACTCTACAGTGTTACTCTTCTTATAGAATATGGATTTTTACGACATATGAACGACACATAAGGCTGGGGGCAGCACGGTGGCTGAGTGGATAGCACTCTCGCCTCTCAGCAAGAAGGTCCTGGGTTCGAATCCCGGTTGGACCAGGGCCTTTCTGAGTGGAGTTTGCATGTTCTCTCTGTGTCTGCGTAGGTTTCCTCCGGGTGCTCCGGTTTCCCCTACCACTAAAAACATGTACAATAGGTCTGGCATGTGCCTCCTGTACTGGCCCCACTCCCAAAAATAACAATTGTAAACCGCTTTGAGACTCCGATGTGCAGTGAAAAGGCGGTATATAAATGAAGATTACTTACTTACTACTTACTTACATAAGGACCGCTCTGACACCTGTGTCTTTGAGGAACGCTCTGACACCTGTGTCTTTGAGGACCGCTCTGACACCTGTGTCTTTGAGGAACGCTCTGACACCTGTGTGTTTGAGGACCGCTCTGACACCTGTGTCTTTGAGGCCCGCTCTGACACATGTGTCTTTGAGGCCCGCTCTGACACCTGTGTCTTTGAGGACCGCTCTGACACATGTGTCTTTGAGGCCCGCTCTGACACCTGTGTCTTTGAGGCCCGCTCTGACACCTGTGTCTTTGAGGCCCGCTCTGACACCTGTGTGTTTGAGGACCGCTCTGACACCTGTGTCTTTGAGGACCGCTCTGACACATGTGTCTTTGAGGCCCGCTCTGACACCTGTGTCTTTGAGGAACGCTCTGACACCTGTGTCTTCGAGGACCGCTCTGACACCTGTGTCTTTGAGAACATAGAACCTGTAGTTTACTCAAAGAATTTTGTTTCATCTTGAACTTCAATTATTTTTAAATCAAACTTTTCTATAAATCTATAATTATTCAGGTTCTGAGGCTGAAGACCTGTCTCCACGCTTTGGTTTATGTGCAGTGATGTCACATGTCATATTGTGATGTCACATGTCATATTGTGATGTCACACCATCTCTGCACAATCAAAGTTTAATCGAATGAAGTGAAATGGTTTCAGTGGAACTTACACAGACACAGGGAGAACATGCAAAATCCAATCAAACCAGTGTTCAGACATGATAAGTAGGTCTGTTATGTGTGTTCATGGTATGTGTGTTCATGGTGTGTGTGTTCATGGTGTGTGTGTTCATGGTATGTGTGTTCATGGTGTGTGTGTTCATGCCGGTGTGTGTGTGTTCATGGTGTATGTGTTTAAGGTTGTGTGTGTGTTCATGGTGTGTGGTTGTTCATGGTGTGTGTGTGTTCATGGTACGTGTGTTCCTGGTATATGTGTTCATGGTGTGTGGTTGTTCATGGTGTGTGTGTGTTCATGGTACGTGTGTTCCTGGTATATGTGTTCATGGTGTGGGTTCATGGTGGTATGTGTGTTCATGGTGTGTGTGTGTGTGTGTTCATGGTATGTGTGTTTTCATGGTGTGTGTGTTTTCATGGTGTGTGTGTTCATGGTGTATGTGTGTTCATGGTGTATTTGTGTTCATGGTGTGTGTGTGTGTGTGTTCATGGTATGTGTGTTTTCATGGTGTGTGTGTTTTCATGGTGTGTGTGTTCATGGTGTATGTGTGTTCATGGTGTATGTGTGTTCATGGTATGTGTGTGTTCATGGCATAAAGTCACCTAGAGTCTTCTAGAGTCGCCTAGAGTCACTTAGAGTCACTTAGAGTCGCCTAGAGTCGCCTAGAATCACCTAGAGTCACCTAGAATCACCTACAGTCACCTAGAGTCACCTAGAGCAGGGGTGCTCAATACGTCAATCGCGATCTACCAGTCGATCGCAAAGGTAGTATTGGAAGATCGCATTACATAATTTTTTTTAATCCGTTTATGCATTTGCGTGTGGACAGAGATAACCGGAGTTTTGCGTTTTTGCACGGCACAGTTTGCCCCCAATCACCAACAACAAACACAACGTGCGACCTCTGATCACTGAAGCATGGATCATACTGCCTTAACAGCGGTTCACAGCAGCGATCCTCGCTCCTCATCAGAGAGCAGCAAAGTGATCACACACGCTCGAAAACAACCAAAACAGGAGCTAAACCAGGATCAAACCAGGGCTGAGGACTGGGGTCAATGCTTGTAAACATACAGTATGTCTTCACCATGGATCTATAATAACACGTCTTCACCCTGAGTTTCTACTATGACTGTAAGTACCGCTACAGAACGAAAGTTACGAATGAAACTACGGTTCTATGAATCCTGGATGACCGCCAGAGGCGGTGCTTAAATGCGAATTATTTCATAAATCATGCGGTTTTGCATGTACATCAACATACATTGTAGATATAAAGAATCCTCAATATATTTAGAAATAAATATGTTTTGCATTTTTGTAGTAGGTAGATCATTTTGACTTGATCATTTTATAAGTAGCTCGCATGCTGAAAAAGTGGGAGCACCCCTGGCCTAGAGTCATCTAGAGTCACCTAGAATCACCTAGAGTCACCTAGAGTCGCCTAGAGTCACCTAGAGTCACCTAGAGTCACCTAGAATCCCCTAGAGTCACCTAGAGTCACCTAGAGTCACCTAGAATCACCTAGAGTCACCTAGAGTCACCGAGCCTAGAGTCACCTAGAGTAACCCAGCCTAGAGTCACCTAGAATCACCTAGAGTCACCAAGCCTAGAGTCACAGAGCCTAGAGTCACCGAGCCTAGAGTCACAGAGCCTAGAGTCACAGAGCCTAGAGTCACCGAGCCTAGAGTCATCGAGCCTAGAGTCACCGAGCCTAGAGTCACCTAGAGTCACCCAGCCTAGAGTCACAGAGCCTAGAGTCACCGAGCCTAGAGTCACAGAGCCTAGAGTCACCGAGCCTAGAGTCACAGAGCCTAGAGTCACAGAGCCTAGAGTCACCGAGCCTAGAGTCACCTAGAGTCACCTAAATCATAAAGGACCATAAAGAGTAAACATGGAGCAAAGACACGGTGGACGTATAGGGGCGAGTGTGTGTGTGTCTGTGTGTGTGACTGTGTATGTGTGTGTCTCTGTGTGTGACTGTGTATGTGTGTGTCTCTGTGTGTGACTGTGTATGTGTGTATGTGTGTGTGTGACTGTGTATGTGTGTGTCTCTGTGTGTGTGTGTGTGTGTGTGTGACTGTGTATGTGTGTGTGTGTGTGTGTGTGACTGTGTATGTGTGTGTCTCTGTGTGTGACTGTGTGTGTGTGTGACTGTGTATGTGTGTGTCTCTGTGTGTGTGTGTGACTGTGTATGTGTGTGTCTCTGTGTGTGACTGTGTATGTGTGTATGTGTGTGTGTGACTGTGTATGTGTGTGTCTCTGTGTGTGACTGTGTGTGTGTGTGACTGTGTATGTGTGTGTGTGTCTCTGTGTGTGACTGTGTTTGTGTGTGGTCTTGTTATGTGACTGTGTGTGACTGTATTCTTGTGTGACTCTGGACAGAGGCAGAAACGCCTGATTGTTGCTGATGAAGAATGTTTTGTTCTCCCTCAGAGCCATTAGCCGTTAGCATACGCCTCGCTCACTATTCACATATATGCTCAACACGAGGACTCCCACAGCCGTCATTTTAACTGCTTCTTTTAAATCAAAGGCCATTTTAAATGTTATTGAGTTTACCATCAGTTTTATTCAAATGTATCATACTCACTTTTACCTGAAGCTAAAACTTCCGAATATAACTTGAAATACAGAAACACAGCTTGTTGAAAGGCTAATGCTAACTGGTAGCACATGTTGCCATGGTTACTAGCACTTGTTCTTCTCTGGTGGAAAAACCAGGAGGTTAAAGTGAGATAATTCATTCATCAAAATAAATACAATGAAAAACTACATAAAGAAACAGAAAAATTATGAAGTTCAATAAAGTACTACTTCCACAGGAGCAGATCTGACCAATCAGAGCGCTGCAGATCAGATCCGCCATTTTGTTTCACAAAAGAATGGATTTCAAAGAAAACGTTTGAGCTGTTTTAGTTCACATTGAGGTCTAATCTCCTTTCAGCCCATGTGGATTTAAGCAGCAGTGCAGTAGGGGCGACAGTAGCTCAGTTGGTAGAGCATTGGCCTTCAGGCCTGAAGGTCGTGGGTTCAATTCCCACCTCTGCACCTTCTCCACCGACTCCCACTGATGACTGCTGTCGTTGTGTCCTTGGGCAAGACACTTAACCCCACTTTGCCCAAAGCCCCCACTGAAAGATCAAGGCTATGCTCACACTCAGAGAGCAGCCGTCCTCCTGTGGACTCACCACCTGCAGAGGGTCAGTGAGGGGCTGGTTCTATGAGACTTGGGTGGCATCTCTGACTGCCACCCCCCTGACCCAGAAATGGATTAAAGGGTAGAAGATGGATGGATGGATGGATGCAGTAGGGGCCCTTGTTCATGTGGATTTTGCAAAGTTGTTGATTCTCCAACACAGATTAGTGAATCAAATGCAATGATAACAAATATTTGGCCCTTGAGGAGCAGAGACCAATGTTATATTATTCTTCCTGGTGGTGTGTCCGGCTGCTGCGGCTGCTGCGGCGTGGTTATTGGGTTATATTTATCTATCAGACAGGAAATGATCTCTTTGCTCCTGCACTGCCCTCAGGACATTCTGCTGCGACCAACCGTCCATGAGTCAGAGCTGGGCTTTAGTGACAAGAGACCAGAGAGAGACCAGAGAGAGACCAGAGAGAGACCAGAGAGAGACCAGAGAGAGACCAGAGAGAGACCAGAGAGAGACCAGAGAGAGACAAGAGAGAGACCAGAGAGAGACCAGAGAGAGACCAGAGAGACCAGAGAGAAAGACCAGAAAGAGACCAGAGAGAGAGACCAGAGAGAGACCAGAGAGAGACCAGAGAGAGACCAGAGAGACCAGAGAGAGACCATAGAGAGACCATAGAGAGACCAGAGAGAGGCCATAGAGAGACCATAGAGAGACCATAGAGAGACCAGAGAGAGAGTCTGAGTTGTTGTGGTATATTTGCCATTTTTCTCTGTTTTTATTTTAAAATTCCATTGAAATTCTGTCATTTAGTTGTCTTTGTATTTTCATAATTGAATAATAATTATATTTTGAATTAACACCAGTGTAATTATCGCCACATTGTGAGACAAAACATGATTTAATAAAAGTATTTTATGATTTTCCAAATGTTTAAATGAACCAGAGCCCTCTTTGTTCTGCAGACTCTGGCCTGATGCCAGAGATAAAAACTACACCTCGAGTGAGCTCCCGCTGGAGGGGGGCTTTCCTTTTACACCCCCTCACACCCCTCACACCCCCTCACACCCCCCACTCCCCCCTTACCCTTGTGGGGCAGTTGCTATGGAGCCAGAGAAGCCTGCTCTCTGATTGGACAGTGGCACAGGGAGAGTGAGAGACGGGTCACGAGACCTGAGGACTGAATGGAATCAATGTTTCAGTATTACATACAGACTAATGTTAATCTGAGAGTATTACATACAGACTAATGTTAATCTGAGAGTATTACATACAGACTAATGTTAATCTGAGAGTATTACATACAGACTAATGTTAATCTGAGAGTATTACATACAGACTAATGTTAATATGAGAGTATTACATACAGACTCATGTTGATCTGAGAGTATTACATACAGACTAATGTTAATCTGAGAGTATTACATACAGACTAATGTTAATCTGTGAGTATTACATACAGACTCATGTTAATCTGAGAGTATTACATACAGAATCATGTTAATCTGAGAGTATTACATACAAACCAATGTTAATCTGAGAGTATTACATACAGACTCATGTTAATCTGAGAATATTACATACAGACTAATGTTAATCTGAGAGTATTACATACAGACTCATGTTAATCTGAGAGTAT